ATACCCTGTTTCCCCGAAAATAAGACCTACCCTGAAAATAAGACCTAGTACTATTTTTGGGAATTGCTAAAATATAAGACCTACCCCGAAAATAAGACCTAGTTATGACCATTCCCAGGGCCGGTGGTGGCATAAGGGGGAACTTGAAGAGCCGCAGGAGAGAATCAGCTGTGCCAACCAAGCCAGCGCTAGAGGAAGCGAGGCGGCTCCGGAGGGATCAGAGCCGCAGAAGCCGATCCCTCCTCTATAGTGCCGGCTCCTGTCACCGGTGGAGCGATACCAAATGCACTCCGCCTATGAGGAATCGATAGTGAAAGTGCTCTTCGCTCATTCTTGCCAGCGATTGGTTATCACATTGCTCTTGGAAAGGTACGGCACCCCTAATTGCACTGATCATCATATTTTTGAATACATGTAGCCTTTTCTACCTGAATAAGTGCGGATTGTTGTACATTAAAAAAATAAACAAAAAAATAAGACCTACCCCGAAAATAAGACCTAGTGTGTTTTTTTGAGCCAAAAAAAATATAAGACAGTGTCTTATTTTCGGGGAAACACGGTACATGTGCCTTCTCATCCTCAACTCATTCAGGAAAAAACAAGGACGTAATCATCCACCCTCTAGAGGTGTTAATGGTGCTACTCCACTCCATGCACAATGATGTGCTCTCTCGACCGGGAAAACTGACCAGGAACAGAGAAGTTAGGCTACACAGGGAACATCTTATAGCTGAAGTTTAGCAATCTTTTTTCGTTATGGTGGTACCGCAGGAAACACATTAGCTACGTATAATGGTGTGTATACCATCTCTGGCTGTAAAAATCCTCCCTTCATACTGTCTGATATTGCCAAAGAGGTTATCTTCCAGTGCTGTATGGCTTAACAGCAGTTGCTGCTAGTGTGAAGAGTTGCGCTGCTCACCCAGATTTCAATGCTGGTGCTCAAATTATTTTCCTCTATAAGACTTACAAAGGTGGCTTGTTTTAAAGTTATTTTATGGCTTGTTCAGACTATGAAAATACAGTGGGTATACAAAAGAATCACCCACCCTTTAAAATAATTACATTTTGTTGCTTTGCAGCCTGAAAAGAAGAGAGACACAGCTTTTGTTTTATCCAGCTGTATTTACTTTTAACATCAAAGTGAAAGATAGATCTCCAACATGTCAACCCCAATTCAAAAACAGAATCGCAGAGTTGGAAAAAGGATCACCCCCTCCTAAAAATGACTTGTCAACTCAATCAGGTGTAGCTAATCACCTTTTCAATGGCACACAAAGCCATTTGACTTTCAACTGTGATTAGCTGCGGTCATTTTGATTAGCTCAGCATGAAAAGAGCTTTCCTGGAGCATCCCAGTCCCTGATAGTTGATTGCTTCAGTTGCACTATCAGTGGCAAGGCACCATCAAAAGATCTCCGGGATACAGTTGTGGACAGGCACAAGTCAGGAGATGGATACAAAAAAATGCAAAGGCTTTATCAATGCCTAGAAGCACAGTGAAGTATATTATTAAGAAATGGAAGGTATTTGGTACAACACTTGGTTCAGGACGTCGCTCCAAACTGGATGAAAGAGCCAGGAGGAAACTGGTCAGAGAGGCCACTCTGAAGCAGTGGCGGGAATTTATGACAAAGAGTGGTTATTGTGTGCATGTGACAACAATATCACAAATTCTCCACAAATGTGGCTTGTATGGGAGGGTTGTCACTCCTCAAGAAAAGCCACATGCAGTCACGACTGAGCTTTGTCAAAACGCACCTTGAAGATTCTGAGGCCACATGAAAAAAGGTGTTATGGTCGGATGAGACTAAAATTCAATTGTTTGACCTCAACACCAAATAATATGTCTTGCGGAAATCCAATACAGCTCGCCATCCAAATAACACCATACCTACAGTAGAGCATGGAGGTGGTAATATCCTGTTATGGAGGTGTTTCTCTGCAGCAGGGACTGAGCACCTGTCAGGATAGAAGGAAAAATGGATGGGGCAAAATACGGTCAAATTCTTGAGGAAAATCTGCTGCCCTTTACCAGAAATTTGTCAATGGCAAGAAGGTTTACCTTCCAACATGACAATGACCCAAGGCACATAGCAAACATGATCACACAGTGGTTGAAGGAGAAAAAGGTTTATGTCCTTGCATTGAAAATCTGTGGAATGACTTGAAGACAAATGGTCACAATCAAATTTAACTGAACTTGAGCAGTTCTGCAAGCAGAGTGGGCAAATATTGCAAAGTCTAGATGTGCAAACATAGTAGAGACATATCCCATCAGACTAAAGGCTGTAATTAAAGCAAAAGGTGGTTCAACAAAATATTGACACAAAGCGGTGGTTATTTTTCCAACTCAGTGATTCTGTTTTTGAATTTCTTTTTCTCCTGACATGTTGTTGTTATATCTTTCACTTGAATGTTATAAGTTGCACTAAGTAAATACAGCTGGGTGAAACAAAAACTGTGCCTGTCTTCATTTCAGGCTGCAAAGCTACAAAATGTGATTATTTTAAAGGGCGGTGATTCTTTTCTATACCCACTGTACAGTAGTGTGCATAATCTGAGCACAGGTTCAGTTTGATGTCTATCTAAATCCAAGAAAAATGTAGGGGTGTCATAAGCTTTCTTTTTTCAAGCTAAGAACATTTTATGCAAGTACAGAAAGACATCTGTTGAACCTGCCATTAGTCCAGTGTCCTTGTAACTTCCCTTGCACTAAACTGAAATCTCAATGTTATCAGGCTCCCTAGCTATTTTCTATGAACTACAAAACATCTCCCCCTACACAACGAAAGTCCTATTCAGGTCTATGGGGGTTAGTGGACTAAGGAATGGATTTCTGTGTAAAAAAAAAAAAGTAAACTATTTAATTTTAAACAACTGTACTTTACCTTTTTCTACTTGTTCCCGGGCTTGTTGATTAGTCATTCCTGGGTAAGGACACACTCCTAGGCTGAAGGTTTCCCAGAGAAGAATGCCAAAACTCCAAACATCACTTTCTGAACTGTATCGTCCTAATAGAGAAACACATGAAAAGAAAATGTATATCTCTGACAATGAGCTGTTCGGTATGTGAAATCAACATTATCTGGTTTCTTTAAGATTTCAAAATGACAAATTTTCTTTAACCTTCAAGTGTTTTTGTAAACAAACAGCAATTGCTCAAATCACAGCTAAGTATTAATACATTTTGTGAAGTAGAAACAGAGCTTTCAATTTTTTTTATATAGTTTACAAAAAATAATAAACAGATTCCAAAATGTAAAGAAATCAATAAATGTAACTTGTAATTTTAAAGGATAAATGTATTTGTACAATCTGCCCAAATAGCACCCCCTCTACTTCCTAATATATAGAAAACACCTCAGACCAGCCCCTGGCTTTCATGTTGTAGCCGCTAATTTTCTTCAGGAGCTGACATACGGTTCATGTTATTTATCTTTAAAAGATTTCAAGGAAAAGCTCATCAATGGTAACATTACAGACACACACACATAATAGAGTAGTTCCTGGAAGAGGCAATTGCAGGCCACAGCCTCAGTACACTGGCTGATCTGTTATTTATTTTTTTGTATAAATTGGGATGATCTCAAGGGCACAGTGGGCAAGTTAACATCTTGTCCTGTAAAGTTGGCTGGGTCACAGTATCCCAGGGATTTCCATTGCCTCTTCAAGCAGGTCTGCCAGAAAATGTTTGAAAGTGTAGATCAAACAGAGCCTGCAGAGGGGCGTGGCCGGGATGTGAGACTGAGCAGACGTGTCTCACTGCAGCTCCCGACATCCGTGCTACATCCTGACCCTTAGCTAGCTGACAAACCGGCCGAAATACTCACCCAGTACTGTAGGGTGATCAGAGCCTGCAGAAGTGGCCAGTGATTACTTTACCTCCAGCAACTGTGTGAGTTTAGTCCAAGGATATTAGAAACTATTCCAACTCTGATCTAAAAAAGTAACAGTATATACTGAGAAACTTATCGAGGTAGATGAATTTTACATGATTCAACAAATATTTAACAGTGTTTGGGTCAAAGCCCTATATGATTGAAACCTTGGACTAAGCCATCCAGTAAGGAATGAGTTGCACATTCAGTTCTGTGTCTCAATTTAAGCGTAAAGTACGGATCCCAGTTTAAAAAAAAAAAAAAGGGTTTTTCTTTTTTTTACAAATTGCACAAGCAGGTAAAAAGGTCTAGAGCTCTACCTGCTGGCTGGATTAAGTGCAACATAAAGTGCATATATATTTTTTCATATTTATGTGACTGCAAATATATTAGGAGTCATAGAAAATAAATTCCTTTAACAGATAAAAAGCCTGCTATCTACTTAAGATTGCCAAATGGAATTCTCACTTCTTAAATAATGTCTCTACTGTTTACACTGAGTGGCCAGATTATTACGACCACCCCATCAGTACTTCGTTGGGCCACGAGATGACTTCGTTGGGCCGCCTCGTGACTCCACGAGATGTTGAAAGGTGATGCAAGGAATCTGACACTGCACTGTTGCCCTTCTGTTGTCTTGTACCAGTCATGCCACTCTCCGTTCTGCCCTAACATTGACTAGTCGCTGACGGCCACAATTCGCACGTTCAGACCCAGATTTTCCACTGACAGTCCAGTCTTTAAAACACTTTAACAATGAGCCCCTCTTGAACATTTAACAAATTCTGCTGTTTTGCTGATACTCACTCCATGGCTCGCGCCAACAATCATCCCACTTTCAAAGGCTGTTAAATCGCGTTGTTTACCCATATCTTCAGAAATAAATCACATCTACTGTCGTGGTAAACAACCTGCTTCCCTATTTATAATGGTCTGGCCCTCCAGCAACTTCAGCACAAAATTATAGCTAATTATAGCTAATTTGCCTACAAACGTCAGGTGGTCATAATAAACTGGCCACTCAGTGTATAACCATGCATAAACTACTAAGATTAGATTTTTCCTCTTGTCTTTTCTTGGCATTATAAATGTGTTATTGTTTTACCATTCAATGCATGTCAGTTCCTAGACTCCTAATCGACTTAGATCCATTAATTTGATCTTCCCATCTAAATTTTTTCAAATGGGAACATAAAACTAAACATTTACTATACAGCAGGTGTCTGAACAAGGACTGAGTGGTAGCTCTGTTTGGACTGTGATTGCCGACCTGCACAGGGTTATGGCTGGCTGACAGTGGATAATCCGGCCTTCAAAGCTGGTGCATCCACTGCCA